TTCTGTATCATAAAAAATGAACATTCTGTGTACAAATATTTATATGAACATTTTTTTTTGATAATATGTGACGTAATTTGTTGCCATTAAAGTTTATTCAAGAATTTTAATAGCATTATGTATTATCTATACATGATAACAATGTAGGTAAATTCTTTTGAAAGATTTCAAATAATGTCTTTTTTTATCCCTAAAATGAAGTAAATACTTAAATGAAATTTTACGCAGTTTTTAAAAATCAATTTGGTAAATAAATTTTACAATAATTACTTCAGAAATATTGAATTTTCTTAGAGCTTATCGTTTTTATATAAAAAAAAACATGGATTCATTAAGTGTATCCAATTTTGATAAAACATTTAAACTTAATTATAATTCCTAAAGCGAAAAAGTTATTTAATTATAAGCATAGTTAAATAAGTTTTAAATACAGAAATTATATTATTAAACAGGTGCAAAAATTTTCATGAATATCTAACCCCTTCATACAATTATATTGCAACTAATGGCGTCCCTCAAGGATCAAATTTGGGACCTATATTATTTCTGTCTTCGCCAATGATTTATGTGATGCATTTGATTATAATAGATTGGTGTTTGCATATTGCCTATATATTTCTATCACAAACGTGTTGTGTAACAAGAACAAATTATATTATTGCTAAATTAGTATAGCTATTAAAAATTGTTTTTATTTAAACATTTCCAAATAAAAAAATATAACATTTTGTTGTGTCAATTACTTTGCAATATTATTTTAGTGTTGCACTTCAAGCGGTATATTATTAGACGTTTATTTTGATCAACTCACATTTAATAATCATATTAGTAATATCGCACATAATGAACAAGATTTTATTACCCGCAATTGTAAAAATTTCACTGACATTCCTGCTGCGTATTTTAAGATTAATTAATGTGGAATTCTATATACATACTGGTATTTATCCGATATTAAAAAATTTAGGTAAATTGCCTAAAATTGTATTTCTAACTAAAAATTCCTATAATTCCTTCTGTGGGGTAAATCATTTTGGAGTTATTTTCAATTTATTCAACTATGTAGCAGGCTTATATTAAATTTAAAAAAAAATGATAACTCAAAAATGACTCGGTTTTAGAATAAAATAGAAGATATCTTTTTTGTTGGAAATACTTACTGGATAATTAGAAACTGGTTCCCGATACATTTTTATAAGAACTTTCTTTATTAATTTATAACGCAGAATCCACCATTAAAGTTTGGTCGAGTATGTCATTGACACCCTGTATAAGTTATAGCAAAGAATGACTGCTCTGATATTGATATATTAGCTCCTAGACTTGCTACTAGACAAAATAATACCTTCCTTTGTCAAAGAGCTCTAACAAATTTATGTTAATTTTGTTTAAACCACCAGTTGATTTAATTTGAACTAATGCAAATAAAACATGCCATGTTTGTGGTATTTTTGTTGAAGTGCTATTCAATTAACACGTAAATGCAGAGTAAACATTTAAATATTATTTTTCTAACTTCACTGAACTGAACACATTTATACGCAGTTGTGGTTTATACACTAATCTACATTAACGCAAAAAATTAAATTTTTCTGTGATTTTTGACACTGCATTTAGGTGAAAAATTGTCATTTTTTTCAGCTAAGCCATTGCATGGACCAGATAGTTTATACAGGGTGTCCCGTAAAGTATGTTACAAACTTTGGGTGGTGATAGTACATAAAAAAAATATGACTAAAAACTCTAATAAACATAACCTCTTAAACGCAGCGTTTTGAAGTTATAGGCCTTAAAAGGTGCAACTACAAAAGTAGTTTTTGTGACGTAACTCTTTGTTGGAAAAAGAAAACATAATGAAATTTTCAGGGACTAGTCAGCTTTAGGAAGCCAATAAATAATGTGGATATTAATAAAATTGAGAAAGCGGAAGGGTGTTTTTTTATCACCCTGTATCCTATTTTTTGCCAAAAAAAATTTTTCTGCAAAGATACAGCAAATATCATAAGATTTTTAGAAAGACCATTGAATTTAGAAATTTTTTTGTCTCTTGCATTTTTTATGTAAAATGATTAGTTTTCTAATAAATTTACAAAATGCAAAGGGAGTTTACTCACCGCTAGGTGTTAAATTTGACGTATTCAAAAAGTAGGCGCCTGTCACTTTTAACATAGTTGACATTTGTTACCATATTTTAATCGTGTCTGTTGACGAATTATTAATTTGTGAGTACAATGGCGGATAACAATCGTTTTACTAATCAAGAATATGCCGAAATGCATTTTATTTATGGATTATGTAATGGAAATGCAACAGCTGCTCGAAGAACATACATAGAACGTTATCCGCAGAGACGTCAGCCGTCTACACAATTATTTACTCGGATTCACAGACGGATTATTGAAACTGGTAGTGTGGTACCCCGTTACATACATTGTGGTAGAATTGCTAGAAGACTACCCGCGCAAGATGAACAAATTTTGAGATCTTTTGAACAAAATCCGGGAGAAAGTGTGCGAAGGGCAGCTAATCAGTTACAGCTTTCCAGAATGTCAGTTTGGCGTGTTTTGAAGGAAAACGGCCTTTATGCCTACCATCTCCAAAAAGTGCAACATTTAATGCCTGAAGATCTTCCCCGACGCCTAGAATTCTGCCGAATAATACTTAACCATCACCAACATAATGTGGAATTTATTAGCTCCATTTTATTTACCGATGAAGCCACCTTTACACGAGATGGTTTACTGAACTTGCACAATGCACATGCATGGTCAGACGAAAATCCTCATGCTACCATTGATAGTCATCACCAACACCGATTCTCAGTCAACGTATGGGCTGGAATAATAGGTGACTATTTGCTCGGGCCTTTCTTTCTACCTCAAAGGCTTGATGCAGTAGAATATTTAAACTTCCTAGAAAACCATCTCCCTGAGTTAATGGAAAATGTTCCTTTAAATTTGAGACAATACATGTGGTACCTCCATGACGGGGCACCTGCGCATTTCAGTGTTCATGTTAGAGAGTATCTACATATGCGGTTTCCTAATCGATGGATTGGAAGAGGATATAATGCACCAATAGCCTGGCCACCGCGATCACCGGACTTGAATCCTGTCGATTTTTATCTTTGGGGACACGCGAAATCTCAAGTTTATGCAACCCCTGTTGATACAGAAGATCAACTTAGACTGCGAATTGTAGAAACCTTTAATTTAATAAGAAATAGTCTATTCATATTCCAAAGAGTCAGATTTAACTTTATAAAGAGACTGACAGCATGTATCGATGCAGAAGGAGGTCAATTTCAACATTTATTATAATAACATATTTTGTTTTAGTTCTGTTTTGGTTACTTAATTAAAAAAATTATTTTGGAAATTGATTGTATTCTTAAAAATTCACTAGGCTTAAGAAATGTATGTAAATAATTCGGAAGCACTCATCTCTCTGCATTTTGTAAATTTACTAGAAAACTAAACATTTTACATAAAAAACACAAGAGACAAAAAAATTTCTAAATTTAATGGTCTTTCTAAAAATCTTATGATACTTGCTGTACCTTTGCAGAAAAATTTTTTTTAGCAAAAAATAGGATACAGGGTGATAAAAAAACACCCTTCTGCTTTCTCGATTTTATTCATATCCGCATTATTTATTGATTTCCTAAAGCTGATTAGCCCCTGAAAATTTCATTAAGTTTTCTTTTTCCAACAAAGAGTTACGTCATAAAAACTACTTTTATAGTTGCACCTTTGAAGGTCTGTAACTTCAAAATGGTGCGTTTAAGAGGTTATGTTTATTAGAGTTTTTAGTCATATTTTTTTATGTACTATCACCACCCAAAGTTTGTAACATACTTTACGGGACACCCTGTATATTCAGCTTCAATTTCCTTTTTTTTTTTAAATTTCGACACGACCATTTTTCATCGAAATATCGGACTTTTAATGCAAAAGGATCCTTTTGTCTTCAATCATCGATATCTCGGCGACAAATGGTCGTACAGAGAATTGAAGGACAGTTTCGAATACTGGAATAAATTTCCTATAACATGCTGCTGCAACTTTTCGGAAAAAAATTTTTTTCATCTTTTACACGAATTTTAAGAAACAGGAAAAAAATGGTAATTTATGGTTTTTTTAGAAAATTGACGGCTAAATTAGAAATATTCACGAAATGACTAATGTTAAACATGACTTTTATAGTTCGATATACCCAGAAGAACCCTGTGAAGTTTCATCTCGATCTGGCGAACCGTTTCTTTGTTTCAAACAGTCAAACTTTTGATAAAAGTTATTTGCGGTAAAAATGTGAGAAAACCTCACGACCATTTTTTACCTAAATACAGTCTGTCAAAAATCACGGAAAAATTTCGGAAATTCTTTTGACACTTTAATTTTTTGCATTAGTTTATTAACTGGATATTTCAATCGAGATTGAAAATGTTTAAGGACTCGATAGTGTAACGTTATGATGATAGGAAAATCTACAGTATATGGGTAGGGTTAAACTTTCGAAATGTAACAAACGTTTGCGACCGCTGGGCGCGGGGGTGGTTCGATCGGAGTGACTTTAGTGTCGAGGCAGAGCATTCCACGATTACGAAAACGGCAATGGGGAGGACAATGGTGAATTCTACATTTTGACTATATTTATAAGATTCTAAGTGCTTTGTAAGTGAACTTAGTGTTAAAACATTTGTGTGTACCGATGGCAAAAAAAAGAAATGCCATGAAACTTGACGCACATCTGGTAGGTTGGAGCTTGAATGAGTACTGAAGCCGCCTCTACCTCTTTTCTATTATTTCTGGGTAACATTTTAGTAATTAATTATGGAAATGAGTATTTTAGCGGACTTACTAAGTTTATTAAGTGTGAAAATAAGATGCGTTCTTGTGTATTCGCAAATGACCCTAATCTGTTTTTAAGAACTGTCGAGCCGCCACTGCTCTATACTATATGCTACTTAAATGTATTCAGTTCGATATCTGTATACTTACAGGTTTGTCCCCGGAACCTAACAGAGGTGAGTGTGCCTGAAACAAGGAGAATTGAAGTTAGTTACGCTCCAGTTCTGACAAACATTGATCTATTCTTAACTGGTATCACGTTTTAAACAGATACAAGGCGGGTACCTAAGTACCTAGAAGTTGTCTGAATAATTTAATTTAGGTACTGCTGTTTTTTTAGAATGAAGGTCTAGGCACATTTTTTTTTCTGGCATCTTAAATTCAATTTTCTCTTCAAACCGGCCTGTCGAAATATTTGAATAATTTATAGCATTTTAAATGTCCCTCACGCTTTATTCTCTTCCTCGGAATTGTACAGACAACCGGGCGTGTCTCAGATTACGTATTTCTCGCACCTTCAGAGATTTTCCACGGTCTCCAGTCGCGTATGAAAATCTAAATTGAGCGTAGAATGCCCCCGCTGCATTCTAAAACAACCTTCGGGTTCTGACTATAACGAGTAAAATACATGCACAGCGAAAACTGCTACTGTATTTCCAAAGAGGGCCTCATATTTGTCCGCTATTACTTTAAATCAATATTAACTCTAATTGACTTCTATCAGTATCATTTATGAGTAAATATTATATTTGATTAGAATACATTTGTTAGGTGGAATTTGCTACAAATTGAAATTGATTTTTTCGGAATATTGTAATTATTTGTCATGTTACAGTGTTTAAACTACAATTAGTCCAGTTGCTAAAGGTTTTGAGATGGCAGTAATTCCACTTGCACAATTTTTTCACGTGATGAGGAAAAAAAATTTTTCTGCGCGGGAGGAAACCCGGAAAATTCGGAAAATGGCTGACACACCGCAAAAAAAGTATTTCGTGAATAACTTGAAAAGTATTGAGAATTTCACAAACATGCAAAGGATAAACTTTGTAGAGCAAAAAATTCTCTACAAATAAGGTTTCTATTGATTTTTTCGTACAGTACGTTATTTAAGAGATACTTAGGAATTTACATAAAATGACTATTCTTATGCAAAACAGTCACAAAAACACATACTTCAAAGCGGCGCTGCACTAAATGTGCGACTATTTCGTTTGTTGATGACAATGCATGAAACAAAGTTTGCTCGAAACGAGGAGCTTCATACTTTCCTTCTATGTGCTATTTTATAGAGAAAAATAATTCCTTCCATAAGAAAACTATGTGGGATCATCTCAATTGGCAGTCGAACTTTGCGTTTTTTTTACAAAGTTAATGGATAACCAATCAACTATTAAAGCAAATTGGTCAAATATTTAGAAATATAAAATCAACCGAAATGCGACATGCATTTTGTATGAATCGATCCCGGCAAAAATTTGTCTGTGTTTTATTTCATTCACATTTTAAGGCTTATAAGTACTGGCTTCACTTTTTTTCTTCTAGCCCGGAGAAAATTCTATTGTGTGTCTCACTATATACCGGGTGGGACATTTATCTTGAGACAAAATGCCTAATATCTCGGTTGCACTCGATTATTTCGAAAAAAGTTTCAGACAAAAATTGTAGGGCACCGAGGCCCATATTATGACCTCCGCTCTAGACCGGAAGTAGTATTTTAGACCGGAAGTTGTTTTTTTTAAATGAAAACACCCATTTTTTATCACGGATTTTGATTGAAAAAGGAAAAAAAACTTTTTGCTCATATTATTTTTTCGATTTAACCCATAATTTTATGGGTCATAAAAAACAAAATAAAAGTTCGGATCATTTTTTTTAAATGTTTCATACAAAAGTTGTAGGGTAAAAAGAGGACTCTCTGGACATAACCTTGAAAATGAATTTCACCTTGACTTTAAGGTCGCTTGAGGCACAAACACAAAATTTTAAATGGGACCCTCTTTTTACAAGAGCGGGAAGTTTTACAATAAAATATAACTTAACTCAAGAACAAGATCAGATATCAAGGTCATTTTAAAGTCGAAAAACTGTATAATTATTAACTACTTTTAAGCACTACCCAGCAATAAAGACGTAGTTTTTTATTCCCTTTAGGGTGCTTGTTTTCGGTGAAATTAAGAATTTCTTCAGATTTCTGAAGATTTTTATAATTTGTTGAAGACTGAAGTGTATTTGATCTTCAAACGACCTTGAAGTCAAGGTCAAGGTCATTTTCAAGGTCATGTCAAGATAGCCCCCTTTTCACCTTACAACTTTTGTACGAAACATTTTCCGTTGTCTGAAGATTCTTGTTTTATTATTTGTTTTTTTTTGCAGTTTTCTGGCCATTTCCCTAATTTTCCCGGTGAATAAATTTAAAAATTACTTACTTGTTTATAATCTATATAGAATAATACGTAATTTTAAATTTAAATTGTTATACCTAGTTTGAAAGTAGTTAGTTTAAATTAAATAAACGAACAGTAAGTCTTACACGTTTCAAGATTATGTACCTAATATTAAATTTTATGAACAATAAATATTAAATAAACTATTACTGCTACAAATGCACCGAAATAAATAAGAACATACTTATTTTAATATTAATGTGCCTTCATCCGTTACCAGCAAACTTATTAAACTATTTAGTTAAAAGGAAACAAACTTGTAACATATTTTAATTTGTGCATTAATGATTAATTCTTTGACTTTTCGGCATACTGGAAGGATACTAATCGGACATAAATCTTTACGTTAACATTTATGTAAAACATTGCTTTTTTCAGCAAATCACTACTCTTGTCGGAGAAAAAAAAGCTTTTCGATGCATTAAAAAGTAACGGAAAAATTTCAGCAACAGGTGTAGAAAGAATCAACTTGTCTTAATGTGTCATGTTNTAACGCAAAAATTTCAGCAACAGGTGTAGAAAGAATCAACTTGTCTTAATGTGTCATGTTTTTTAGATCACACAAATAAACAAAAATGTCATATTATTAGCTATTATTTGGAAAACGTCAAGGATTTATAAAGCGAATCGATAAATAAATGTCTAGCTTACTGGCCACATTGCTATCGAATGAGTTGGGAATATGTGCCAATATTTATATCGGTCATTGTGTAAGAATAGAAATAGAAAGATAGTAATTTTAGAACTGTTAAAATATACTATATAGTTAGAAATATCCTACTACCGTCTATTTTAAAAACATATCTGTGGTAAATGGAATGAATAGGATTGGTTCACATCTTCGAAATGCATTTTTTCAAAATACTTATAGGTTTTTTCGATGATATACCTACATTTTTTGACAGTCACTAATGCTCATTATTGATTTTATAACTTGAACTAAGATTAAATTGGAAACACTCGGTATGCAATATCCGAGGTAATATCGATATGAGAATTATTTCAGAGCTAGACCTAGACATATCCCACATGTTGCTCACGAGAAACGGGGTCGGGACTTACGAGCGAAACTAATGGTTTCAGTGATAAATTCTAGCTCGAATCCAGAGGTTCAGAGCAGAAACATTTATTAATTTTAAAGGGTAAAACTCGGTGCATCCCAAAGGCAATATAAGTAGCCGGGGATCTCGAATGTTATATATGTTATAGTTAAAGACAAACGTGCCTTGAGGGAGAAAACTGCTATTGTCTTTCCAACGACAACTATTTCTTTGAACCAATATTAATTACAATTAATTTATATCAGAATTTTCAAGCAATGAAAAAAATTATATGATTGGATACCTTAATATTACAGGTAGTACAGTCATTGAAGCTTTTTACCTCCGAATTCTTTGAAACTGAACCGATCGACTTGAAATTTGGCAGATAGTTAGAGAAAAGGTCAATGAACATTAGTGACATAGCGCCGATTGACGCTTCCACCCTGTTGGGAGTTGACACCCCATCTCGGGGGAGGATTTTTTTTCAAAATGGAAATGGAAATCGATAGAGAATCAAATTTCGAGCAAAAAATATTTGAAGAATTTTTTCGAGAAATCAATAGTTTTTTAGTTATTCACGATTGAAAACTTGGAATTTTTAGTGAAAAAAAAAAACACTTTTTCAAAGTATTTTTGTGTAAGTGTAATGAACAAAAATGTAGCTTATAAATAAACAAAGAAAATCGTTTTTTAAAAAGTGTTGTACGTCCTATACAAAACGAAATATGGTTAGTGGAAGGGGACGTGTTTTGAGGGGGATCTCGGGGGAGGGGGATACTCGAATAGATGTATTCAACATCAAATAACGGAAAAAAGATTCATTTTACGTGTATAACGCTGCGGGAGTTTTTTGTAGTACTTAAAAAGACCTTCAAAATGAGTACTTATAAAAGTTAATTAGAGCAAAATTGAAGGAGTTATCGTCAAAAACAGATGGGTTGCTCAAATTTTTTAAGAAAAATTGAGCAGTAAACGCTGTACCATTTCCATCAGAATTAAAATTAATCGTAGACCCTTTACAGTTAGTTTTGTTTTAGTGTTTTTCATACGATCCTGAAGTTAGACCGGTTTAGAATGCGTATTTTTTTAATAATGTACGGTAAAAGTTGAAAACGTATTTTTCATTATTCAAAAAAAATTGCCTTATTTATATAATAACTCTGAAACTATGAAAGATACGTAAAAAATGATAGACAACAAAAATGTAGCTTTTTTTTCAACAAATATTTTGTTTTTTTTATTCCTATAGCATAAAAAATAAAGGAGATATCGCCGCTTGAAGTATCCATTTTAGTGAAAAAACGACCTGTCTCGAGCCCTTCGATCCTTTCCCTTTAAAAAACGAAGGACTTAAAAGGTTTTATATGCAAACGATCTTACAGCTCTTGAAATTATCTTTAAAATGCTTTTTTGTAGGATACTATAGCTTCAAAATTAACCGAGTTATGGTAAAAAAACCAATGACATTTTTTCGGAGCAAAATAGGATTTCTCATTTTTATATGTTATATTATATATTATACAAATAAAATAAGTAAAAAAATTTAGTGTGATTATTTATATGCAGCGTAGCAATTTTTTTATGATTGATTATATTTAAAAATCGATTATAATAAAAATATTTTACATTAATATTGGTAAAAGGGTAGTTTATAAGAGTTGAAAATGGCAAAAGTAAAATATTCTTTCATAAACAATAT